AGGCTGCTGTCAAATCCCTGAAGCACCTCATCCTTAAGGTGGCCCCTTCTGGGAACATTGACTGCGAGGCCTTCGACCGGGGTCTTCTTGAACTCCGCAACACACCTAACTACACCGGACGCTCCCCTGCCCAGGTTTTGTATGGACGCCCCCTTCGTTCTTGTGTCCCTGCTCACCCTCAATCCTTCTCCAAGGAGTGGCAGGCCAAGACAGAGGATTGTGATCGCCGAGCCGCCGAACGTGTTCAGGACGTCGTCGCCCGCTACAACGACCACGCCCGTTCTCTCCCCAGGTTGAGTGTCGGCACCCAAGTTCGTGTTCAGGACCCGACCTCCCTACGTTGGGACAAAGTAGGCGTAGTCATGGGTCTCGGTAGGTCACGGGACTACCAGGTGCGGTTACCCAGTGGTCGTGTGTGGTGGAGGAACCGCCGTTTTCTCCGCCCCGTAACAATGCCTTCCGCTGACCCCGCCGTAACAATGCCTTCCGCTGACCCCGCCACCAGTGTTGAGTCCCATACCCTTCCCAGTGATCTAGTCCCTCGACGCTCAGAACGGATCCAAAAGAAAAGGTCCGCTCAAGACTTTGCTATGAGCGTATAGGGGGGAGGGAGGTGTATGTATATTATGTATGCTGTATTATATATTATGTATGTATATTATGTATGTGCTCCATTTATGTACTATTTATTCAGCCTAGCTAGCAGTGTGTGGCAATGTATTTAAGATGTCCCACATGCTTAATTAATGTGCCTGGCGACGTATGGAAGCTGCTAATGTATCACTTGCCATACGTCGTCTATAGAGCAGTTGACGAGCAGACAGGTTGAGGAGCGGTACTCTCCTTGTGTACATATCTCTTATCCAGTAAATCGAACCTACAAAATCTATACAGGTGTTTGTGTTCGCTCCTGTATATTGAACTTATTACCCAGAACATTGAACAGTAGCATCATCAACAGCTTCAGTTATCTTTTTGGCAAATGGTTCACCCTCAAATACTTCGCAAAAGTTCCTTAAAGTTGGCTTTATGATAGCCTCACCCTCCGTGAAAGGACGTTTTTGCTGAGCAATGAGAAAAGCTGTCTTATATGAGAACATTTCCATCCTTTCCTTGTGAGATAGTGCTCTGCTTAAAATTGACTGTGACTTGGTTAGATTTTTATGACGATGATGAAAAATTCTTTTGCGAGCCTCTTCTGAAAGTACAGCAACATTTGTGTGAGTTTCCATGTGTCTCTGTAGTTTGTTCGGCTTCAAAGATTCCTCAGCAAGTTCTTTAGAACACATAACACAAATCCCTTTACCACTGACGTCAGCTACACCATACTTGTCGGGGAATGATGGATTGATAGAGCGTTTTCGTTTCTTGGTGGCTGGCTCCGATGCTGTCTTCAAAAACCTATCCATAATGCCTGGAAAATATATTGCATATAGTACTAAAAATATTTAAATTTTACAAACACTTAAGATAAAATACAGTGTGCTTATAACAGGCAAATAATTGGTAATACGCATACAAATTAAAATACACGACAAAGTGAATGCATACAAAATACCAAGACATAATTAAATTTGCTTAATAAATCAAGTAGCGCTGAGTTGACCTTCATCTGATATTGCAAATTAATTTTAGTGTCACAAAGCAGGCCGTGGCCGGTCAGTTTGAAAGACTCAGTGCAGGTCCACTGGCATAGCATTAACCTACTGATAGTAAGGATTGTCCTTACTAAGGATTAAACTGGTGAGGCTGAAGATAATCCACAAGCGTCGGCAAGAGCAAAGGTTGCGACCTGTTTCCTGGCCTGGGTCGGTGACCGTATCAGGCCAGGTACCTATAGGTCGCAACCTTTGATCTTGTGGCATCTTGCCTGTCACCTGGCCTGACAGTCACCGACCGGCCCCACCCTTTACTGGGGGTGGAGGTGGGCGGGGTACTGCACAGCTCAACTGTTCTAGGTTAGTGGTGGGAGAGTGGGAGGGACTGGTCAGTTACTCCACCCATCCTCTCCCCATGTGACCTGAGCAGGCAGACCCAAAGGACCCCAGCGACCCCACCGACCCCATGACCTCTTTGCGACCCTACCTAATGAGCCTTCCGACCCCATTTGGGGTCGCGACCCCAGGTTTGGGAACCCCCGAGTTAGGGCAATGGGGTGATAGTTAGAGGGATTAGAATGGTCACCCTTCTTCAGGATGGGCTGAACCAAGGCATGCTTCCAAGAAGAAGGAAAAGTTTGCGTTTTGAGGCAAAGGCGAAAGAGGCGAGCAAGCACAAGGGCCAGAACTTAAGCACACTCCCTCAGAACACGAGGGGGTATTCCGTCCGGTCCATGCGCCTCACTCACATCCAACCTGGATAACACACCAGCAACCCTACGAGTGAAGATTATAGGAAAGTGCATAGGTTCAGTAGGAGGAGCAAGAGTAGGAGGGGTAGAGTTGGAATCGTCTTAGGCGGAGTTAAAGGAGAATAAGGTGCCAAAGAGATTGGCTTTATCAGAGGGAGAGTTGGCAATAGAGTTATCAGGTCGGACGAGAGGAGGAAAATAGGGAGTGCAGAAGTCATTACAGATGTTTTTGGTTAAGGACCAGAAGGATTTACTAGAAGAAGAGTTAGTCAGGACAGCGGTCTTTTTACAAAATTCCGCTTGGTCCTACGAACAATAGCCTTACAACGATTCATGGAAGTAATTAATGAGGAGTGGGTAATAGGAGATGAAGATAGTTTCATAACTTGATACGCCCAATCTCTAGCCCTGCATGCAAGAAAACAGGAGCGATCAAACCATGATTGTAAAGTGAAAGTTTTGGTAGAAGTTGGGATAAATGCACTCATACCACCCTGTATAATCCCAGCAATGCTGTCAGCACTTACCGAGGCGTCCCGAGTGGAAAAGCAACATTCATCCCAAGGAAAGTGGTAAAAGAATTTTCGCAAGGATTGCCAATTTGCCCTCCGATAGTGCCATAGTTGGCGTTTAGAGGGGGGTTGAGGAGGTAGTCATGCCCAGTTTGATTTAATAGAAATAAGATTTTGATCAGAAGACCCTTAGGGGGCAGAAATTGAGTATGAATAGTGCGAGGGGTTAGAGGTAAAACAAATCAAGAATGTTAGTAAGTTGATCGACACGATCAGGAACACGTGAAGGGTGTTTAATTGCTTGTTCCAGATCATTAAGTAAGCCACTCTCTGTGATGTACATTGAAATCCCCTAGGTAGAGGCTCTCGGTGTTGGGGTGTGTGGATAGCAAAGACTCATGAAAAGAAGTGAGATAGTTAGAGAGTTCCAAAAAGTTGGTAGAGTTGGGAGAACAGTATAGGAAACAAAGAAAAAATAGTCAAAGTTGGTAGAGATATTTTGAGTCAGATGACATCATAAAGAGAAGATCAAGATCCGTGAGTCGGGCTGTAGGTGTACGTGTGTTGCAGGAGGCGCATACACCTCCCTCAGAACGGAAAGAGGTATAAAGGTTGTAGTTGGAGATTTGAAAAGCTTTGGGTGAAGGCTTTGGTTAGTTGAAGATCAGATAGTAGTAAGAATTCGGGGGAAGAGGTTAATAAATGGTGCTCCACAGAAGGAAAATTGGATTTCAGGCCACGAATGTTGGAAAAATGAAGTGTGAAAAAAGCCGATCCTCCAACAACCGGGGTGATGTCAGTTGAGGCCTCAGTAGTTTGATGATGGTTAGATCGACCCTGCGGCACACAACCTTCTCAACCACTGGGACCCATCCGAGAATGCCCCGCTTTAATATTATTGTCAACTAATAACATAGGAAAATAAAAGAGTAGAAAGAATAGAACAGATCAAGAGTAAGAAAGGTTATATAATGTTGTGTTGTCAATAGTAAGAGAGACAATGAGACCCTGCAATTGTGTGTAAATGAGGCAGAGAGGCAGATCAGCAACCTGGGACTTGGTCACAATTTTCGTGATGCCATATGGCAGCAGGGTATACCATAGACAACACATTATGCTTCCAATATCTTCTCCGGCGGTAGTACCTCCCTGTTTGATAGCTGCCTACTACCTACTATGTTTGTCAGGATGGTTGTCCGCCGCGTGTTTGCTTGTTCGCGGCCCCCACTAAGGGGGGAAGACGGAGGTGAGAACGTCGCTGCTGCCTCGTCGCACACCAGACACTACCCAGCCGTTAACACAGCTGTATTTGCACCCCTCTGTTCATTCAAATTCTGGTTGTGTGCTCAACAGTCTCCTGGGCTGATTCCCCAGATCTTGTCTTTTCGGCTGTCAATCTCCGAACACCTACCCCAGCTACTACCGCAGCTGCCATGTCCTCGCCACTTTCCCCACGCCCTATCCTCGCCACTTTCCCCACGCCCTATCCACCGTCCGTGCCCTGTCGTCTCTCCTGTGTGGCAAGACATCGCCCGCCAACGCCGGCGCCAAGTGAGGAAGCTGCCTTGACCTTCCCCCTGAGAGCGGATCACCTCTTTACGGAACATTCCACCGGGCCGCCGCCGTAGGACATATCTGTACATTGTTTAATTTTCGTAATTGTTGATATCCATTAATTGTTTGACTCCATTAATTGTTGACTCCCGTAATTGTTTATTTGATATTTGTGTGAGTGGTGTCAATTTTTGTGTTTATTTTCGTAGTAAAGAGATGTCAATCTCTAACGGTTGTTTGTTACCCCTGGAAACCCATGGTTCTTGACTTTCCTTTTATAAGATCCTGATTAGGCTGGCAAGGGATTTATATCCCAAAGTCCCAGACCTTTACAACGTTATGAACGTAAATTTTAATTGCGTTTCAAATTCATAGTCCCCATTTCGTCACCAGATATGGAGCCACTATTTACGTTATAATATTTATTTTTATCTTTACACATTTTGTTCAACGCATAATCATTATTTACCCTTGCCCAGGTACATGAGGGAAAATTATTTGGCCTTTTGTCAACAGAAAATACGAACTGATGAGTGTATTTTGCCAACCGTAATGATAAATGTTGCGTTGGTGTTCCTTGACAGGCATCTGGTAAGGACATGGTGAAGGTGATGGTAAAGTCGGCGCCTGGGGTACCCGACGAAGGCCTCGTGCTTGAGATCCGACGCGACGATCTGCTGAGGCTGCAAATCACCCAGGAGGATGTGAGTAATTCACACCTATGATGGTGTACAGTTCGTAACGTAAACCCTGAAGGATGTGACATACACCCATGAGAATGGGAGCAACATTTTCTTAGGAAGATACAATTAACATGCCCTTGGGAAGCTAACTTACTTTAACTCGGTAGGTCGACTTAATGCACCATAGTTCCATAGGGATGGAGACATGAAAACTGCGACACTTAGTTCCTAGCAATTCTCTTGACTTGTAGAGCATCCTTCCACTAGTACTTAGGAACTGTGACTCAATATCTTTCTAATTCTTTGGCAAATTTTCCCTACAATTAACGACTATCAATACTTTTCCCTTATAAGTACACAGTTCTTATAAGGTACAGTATATCGCTTGTCTAACTGAGAAGTTTTATAGCGGCCAAATCTATAAAGTTCTGTTAAATTTATATAATTAGACAACTGTATAATTATTTACATATTTACAACTGGGTGGAGTGGAAGGGCCCCGGAATCGAACTCTGGGTCAGTTTAGTTTATTAAGTTACTAGGTGCTGTATAAGAAAAGTGGAAGCTTTCGGATTAGCAATATTATCAAGTGACGGGCATGCACAGGCTTTTGAGCGTAACAATATGCGTCCGGTCTCATCGCTTCTCACGTCAATAATCTTTCATCAGTCTATTCAGTTCACACGATGACACTCTAGAGCCATTCCATTCAGCTCACAGGCACCAACACACTGAAGAAACGGTGACCTTGTAATATTCATGGTAACCTTGTAACACTGTTTTATTTATCATCTCACGATATTGGAAGTCTTTCCCAGCACTCGCCTTTCCTACCACATTGTAATGTAGCTCGTGGGCACCTCCAAGCATGATAACATATTGAATTTGAAATATTTTATTGACAATAAAAAATTATTACGTCAAAAGAACAGGGTAGTATACTATTCCCACCATCACCTTTGCCATCCCCTTCTGGGGCTTACAAAAAGTTATAAATGTTATAACAATACAAGAATTATCTTTACAGCATTGGAATAGTTCATCTTGACATGATCACCGTTCTACATTAATGGAACAGATAATGTAATCTTACATTGCAAGAATTATTTTATTCTTTTCATTATTAATCATCCAACAAACTTGTTTCTTTAAAGAAGTGATCCCACTGTTCCTGCATGGTTGGATTTTTTCGCATCCTAATACATAATGTTGTAGTGTATGTGCATCCCAAAGATGACACAGTTGACAAGGTTGACCCGCCCCTCCACATATCTGCCAGTAATATTTGTATTCCAATCTTAGTCTCATTATAACAGTATCAATAGATGGCAAGTTAGTCCCATAAGTTACATTGGTGTTTTGTAAAACATACAAATAGTGCTGGAAACTCCCCTTAATATGGCATTATGGCACTCGCCTCTCGCTTTTTCCCATTCCTCTCCTTTTCTTTTAATTTCCCTCCTTATCGGTCTAATACTTACATTGCTAACAATATCTATATACATATTTTCTGCAATTTTTTTGGCCAATTTGTCAGCCATTTCATTTAATGAATCCCCACATGTGATGGAATCCATACAAACTGCACAGTGCATTCCATTTCTTGCATCACTATGACCAGTCGTTTACAGATATTAACAATATGAAAGTTACATGGATTTTTACTCTGCAAAGCTTCCAATGCACTTTTACTATCAACAAAAGTATATTTTTTTTACATTTCTCTATAGCAACCTGAAGTCCTTCACATATTGCGTGTAGCTCAGCCAGCATGGATGAGGTATTGTTACTAATTCTTTTACAAACTGTTTCATCTTCATAACACTCATTGATAAAATATTCCCTTATAAAAACACCACATCCCGCTGACCGTTACTTAATACTGATCTATCACAATATATATGTATAGTGTTTTGCCTGGTAAAACTATTTGTTTTATCTAAAAAGACTTATCGTAAATAACTGGGATGCCAATCTTATTTTTTCCCCTCAAGCTGTAAAATATCAACTGTAATGCATCCTTCCTACCATGGTCTAAACCTTAAATAAGTTTGTAATGAAATGCAATATTTATCTACACTATACTCCATCATAATATTAAACAGTAGCCTTGCATACTTGCATACTTAAGCACATTATTATACGGGACAACCTATTATCTCCTCTCCTATTGGACCTAAGGGAAGCGGCTACAAAAAGTTCCTTGGTAGATCTAACTCCATACACATTATTTCAATTCTAATGTTTCGTTGACAACCTAAAATAATTCTCATAGCCTCGTTTTGTATCACTTCAAGCTTTTGAATAACTTTCTTACTGTACATTTTAAGGATGGGTGCTGCATAGTCAATAACTGAAAGTACAGTACTGATATAAACCATCCTTAAAATAGGAATACCTGCGCCATTTCTCTTCCAAGCCAAAGCCTTTAAAGGTCTTAAACGTCCTTTACATGCATTCTCCAGGTCTTGCATCTCACGCACTTTACTAAGTATTTGTAAACATCAGCTTTTTCTAGCCTTAATCCATTAAAAAATAAATCCCCTTGTTCATAATTTCTGACCTGATGTTTAATTATTCATTGTTAATTACAAGACCCATTCTACAACAAAGTGTACTCAATGCATCTAAAGCCTCTTGCATGTTTCTCATACCTTTACACTGTAAAAGTATATCATCAGCATATATTATAACCTGTGTGTCTCCAGGAAATTCGTAGCGAGCCAGTATGTGCATAAATATGTTAAAAAGAGTGGGGCTAAGAACACCTCCCTGTGGAGTCCCCAACTCCATCTCTCTTTCCTCTGAGTACCAACCCTGAAACCATACTCTTGCCATTCTGTTACGCAAGTAATCCACAATCCATTTCAACAACTTCCCAGAAACCCCTAAATTAATTAGTTCCTCGTGCATGACTTCTTTATTTGCCCTATCAAAGGCCCTTTTAAGTCTGCATGTAGCCTTGGAGTTATTCAAACACTTTACAACACAGTCTGCAGTACTTCTCCCTTCCCTAAATCTATGTAAATTGGGCGCCAAGAGATTTTCCACTTTATACAACAACCTCTTTAATACTATTATTTTTATCATTTTACTAAAACAAGAGGTTGAAGATATGGGGCGAAAATCTCCATTGTTCTTTGATATTGGTACAATTGCTGCTTTCTTCCACTTAATAGGGATACAACTTCCATTATAAGACATATTAAACAAGTCTAACAGGGGCCCTTCTTTAATACCAGCGAGACAGTCAAGGATACCATATGTTATTCCTTCATCACCGGGTGCCGTAGACTTTCCCTTTTCAATCGCAAATAATAACTCGCCTCTCATTATAGGAACACATGTATCATCCTCCAGTGTAAGCTGACTTTGAACTAACTCACGCCTAAGTCTACTTTTACTTTGTAAGGAGGCCTGCACACTCTGAGGTAATTCGGCAAAACTAGCAGTCTCAGCCCATTTCCTAATAAGTTGACTGGCCCTACCCTGTGGGTCAGCGTAGCTGTTACCCTTGCTTCAAACACATCACACTTTATTCACTTCCTTCCATATGTCACCCAAGCTCTTGCCTTTAGCGATTCTCCCTAAAAAGCCTGCCCAGTATTTATTCCGCGCCTCTTGCTTGATTTCATTGTCATTTGGATTTGCACTCCATTCTCTTTGCACCTTTCTAATGAGTTTACTCCAGCCCTGAACCAATTTGTGATTAACATACATATTACGTTTCCCATGATTTATTTCTCCTTTATAACTACACTTACTTGTAGTCGAAACGGAATCAATAATATGTAATAAATCATCATAAAAATAATCAACATCCTTTGGTCCATAATCTGTGTACTAACCCAGTATAGTAGTGATCAACTCCCCTTTTTTGTCTTCCGGCAACCAATATTTTTTCGCTTAAATAGCTTCTGTATTTTGTTAACATGTACAGTAATTCGTAATGCAAAATAATCACTAAGCAAATCCCTAACTATCTCAGCATTTGCTCTTATTACATGTGTATTAAAATATACTGCATAATCTAACCTTCCTCCATGTATGTGGATTGGCTCATGATTCCCCAATATTTCAATATCATCAAACTCCTCCAAGAAGTGTAACCATCTCCTTCCATTAATGTTACTCGGTCCCATAGTACCCAGGACTTCGTGTCTATCATTAATATCACCAACCCAAACACTAGCATCATTATATAAGCACTCAAGCACGTCATCAATACCCAAACTTTGAGGATGTACATTGATGTTAACAATACGTGGACTTTAACACACAAACTTTCAACCCTATTCTGTTTACAATTTTTCCGAACATAAATTAACAGACCTCTTTTATTATTTTTATTATTAGCTGGTAAATAGAAACATTGATAATTACGTAAACTCATCAAATTACCATCCTCCGTGCCCGTCTCTTGTAAGGCTATAACATCCACCTTATACTGTCCAACAAATATTTCCATTCAATGAAAGTATGCTTAAACTAGTGTCCCTCATTTTCCCTATTAACAACAGAAACTAACCTTATTCTCTCATTCACAAACTGTTCCATTACTTCTTTCACTCGAGCTAATACCTTATCATGTAATACTTCGGGGTTGTCACATCACATGCGGGTTATATCTTCCCTTATGTCCACATTTCCGGTCCCCCGTAGCAAAGATGGTTTGTCAGAATTTATTACTGTATTATTTTCAACCTTCTTTCCTTTAACTTCAACATCCATATCCCCATGTACACAAGAATGGACAATTACCTTCTGGTTGTCCTATACCTTTTTCTAAGCATCTGAATTTTTTGCCTGAGTTGAACTACTACACCATACACATCACCAAACTTTTGGTGCAGCTTCTGCACCATATCCAGCTATCTTCAACGTGTCACTCTGTTCCATCCTCTTCTTCCACACATTGTCATTTGAAGGTAGAGTTGTCTCACCTGCAACTCTTCGTCCTTCCTTCTTCTCTTTCTGCTGCACTTCCTTCATGCTCTGCCACCAGGCACCACGCATCTGTGGTTTCTTATTGCAACTTGAGGAACCTGCATTATGCTCGCCGCCACAATTGCAACAGCACGGCACAATAAGTTGCCCAGACTTTAGTTTATTTCCGCAGTAACAACACCGACATTTACTCTGACATTTTCAGGTCATATGGCCCCACCTGCTGCACTTGTAACACAGAACAGGTTGTTCAATAAACTTTGCAATTCTCCTATATCCTATTCAAGAAATTAATATCTTCTCTGGAACGTCTCCCTTCATCAAGGCAACCACTTGGTTCTTCTTCTCACCTCAGATTTCGTGTCACTTTGCCCATACGAATCGTGTATCATCAAGAAAAAAATCAGGATCCAGCATAACTGGGTACATGAAGACGATCACTTTGCTGTGGTGTTCTGTGCCCTAAGGCATCGTCGGTATCACTTCCTTAATTCCTGGCGTCGTCGAAAACTTTACCGCTTCATCCCCATCTACAGTCAGATAGGAAGTATTACGACCTTCCTTAAGCAGGGGTTCAAAAATTTTATGCTGTCTTCCCAGTGTAGCAGCCCATAGCAACGCTCATAGAATGACATGTGTAAATCACTTGGAAAGTTCAACCTCCTCCTTCCTGAGCTGTTTTCACCACCCGTGTTGCTCGTAACATTGGTACTGTCACGATGATTCAATCGACCAACCTGCTACGTTTTATTCCCAGTTGAATTCTTTCTGCTTTCTTCTGCGTGTGCAGTCCTCTTCTTCCTGTCATTCATGATCTCATCACTATCACTTCCTTCACTTTTCTTCGCCAACTCTCGCCTCCTCTTTTCTTTCTTACTAACTACCTCTTGAAAACTGTCGCCCCCATTGTTTTTGGCCGCGGATCATCAGCTTTCGAATCGCTACTTGAAAGCCACAGGTCGTCTTCTATGCTGTTCAGTAATGCAATCTTTTCTTCTCTAGGCAAAGCCTTGACAAGTTTCTGCCCACCACTTGCCCCAGGCATGGTGCAACGCTTAGGCAGCCTGTGAGAATCTGCAATATTGTCGCAGAGTACAAGGCTGACACGTCCGACCAGTACAGGCAGCTTTCAGAGAATGTGATAACATATTCAAATTCAAGATCATTTCTGTTGTTAGTGTACTGGGAAGTAGACTTGATTGTAGGGGAAACTAACGCCAGAGTTCCTTCGGGTCCTGATGTTTTCTTGATCTTTTTCCATTACTATTTTCTAAATATATATATATATATATATATATATATATATATTTCATTAGCCCAAGGACTTCTACATACAATCAACACCTCAACCCGCCAGGATTCGAACCCACGGCCCACTAGCCCATGACTGGGGAACGCTAACCACTGGACCACCAGGATATTAAAAGCAGTCTTAGACTTTGTTATATTTCACACAAAGCCTGTTCAACGAGCTTATGGCGCCGTGAACCTCTAATGGGTATTACCCGTATCACGTAGGTGGTCAGAGTAACGTTTTACCAAATCCAGCTTCGAAACACGAGGATCCATATATATTTCATGAGCCCAATAGCACGCGGACTTCTACATACAATCAAAACCTCAACCCGCCAGGATTCGAACCTACGGCCCACTAGCCCATGACTGTGACCGGGAACGCTAACCGCTGGACCACCAGGATACTAAAAGAAGTCCTAGACTTTGTTATATTTCACACAAAGCCTGTTCACCTACGTGATACGGGTAGTGATACGGGTAGTCCCCATTAGAGGTTCACGGCGCCATAAGCTCGTTGAACAGGCTTTGTGTGAAATATAACAAAGTCTAAGACTGCTTTTGGTATCCTGGTGGTCCAGCAGTTAGCGTTCCCCGGTCGCAGTCATGGGCTAGTGGGCCGTGGGTTCGAATCCTGGCGGGTTGAGGTGTTGATTGAATATATATATATATATATATATATATATATATATATATATATATATATATATATATATATATATATATATATATATATATATATATATATATATATATATATATATATATATATATATACTGCATACAACAAGACTGTAAATGATGTGTGTTGCGTCAGTTGGCAGGCGGAGAAGTGGTCGGGGGTGGTGATGGACGACCACTACGACTGAAAGTGAAAGGCCGGTACTTTCCACTGCCGGAGGTTCAGCTAACGGACTCAAGCATCCTCGTCTTCCACTCCGTCGAGAATGAAGAACCTTACTTTCTGGACCCCAAGACGGTGGCCCACCTCACTCTTAAGTCCTTCCAGGGTAAGAAGTCACAGGTGAAATCTTCCTTCTGCCACAAATGTGCTCAGGGCGAAGGTATCTATCTGGCCTGCGTTCACATCGTCTACGTTTTTTTTTTTTTACGCCTAATGTGTGTACAGTCGATAGTAGTTTTATCTGTTACAGTGGTTGGTGAGTTTTGTTCGATATGGCACTCTGTGTATGTTTACACTGCAGTAAAACTCCCGGAATGGTCCTAAGGATCCTCGTAATTGTAGCCAGACTAAGGATGCAGTTAATTAAGCATTCCACCTCTATCTTTAAATGCAAAAATTTCTTGCATGGTTATAGTTTTAATGTAGGTTACAAAATAGAACGTCATTCGCTCTTCTTATCTGTTACCTGCTAGAGTAGACGGTGGTAGTGTGGCGAGGTGCTGTGACGTATAAGGAGAAGGAGGGTGGGGTTGGGTGGGGTTTCTCTTCGCCCGGTAGGGGAGCGGTGCACTGACTTACTGTCATGTTTATTAATATGACCTCAATCTGTGAATGTTGATATTTTATATGTTGTTTTAGGTAATATTGGATCAGCCAATAAAACGTTATTTCACCCAGTCTTTTTTATTTTGTGGACAACATTCATACACTTCATGCTAACTTTTTGCCAATCCTGATATGACCAAATGTGACATTGCATAGGAGTTATATTATTTATTTGCATTTGCTGAATGCTGGGATTTATATGTAGGTAATGATAATTGGTGATACTATTGAGTCACGTAAGTCACATTTGGTAAAGGGGTAAAATTGGTTACATGACAGGTATGTGGCTGGCCAGACTATAGACTGTCTCAGAATTGGAGGTGCTATGTCATTGTGAGTTGGGTGGGTATAATGAAGCTTGGCTAAATTTCAAAAAGTTATTTTAAGATCGCCTTCAAGGTGACCTGATATTAGACTTATCTGTAATATATTCGACTAATACCATATTTGGTGTTTGTATGAATCACTTTTGACGGTTCTTGAGCAAATTTTATGTGAAGACCAGCCCTGCTGTCACCACACAACCTCACTCACACCACACATCATGATAAAGACTATCCACATTTATTGTACCGTCTCTTACACTATGCTTGTCGGTTTCCTACCATTAAAAGAACACTGGTAGATTCATAATGTGGAAATAGCCATTGCCACACATATATCGGTAATTAGGATATGGAGTAAATTAAGGACTCGTCCACAATCTATTATTCTTGATGCTCTTTTTTATTGCCTACATGTCCGTTCCTTGTCCGTATGAACTGTACTTATATACTTACCATTCTAGTCAAAATTGTTAGCAGTTTTATGAAAAATTACCAATTTTAGAGCAAAGAAGTATTGTAGATATCTTTGTATCTAGGAATGGCCCGAAGTGGTTTTTTGACCAACTCGCCACGCAGCCTATCAAATTTGACCAACTAATGAGGATTAAAAAAAGAAAAGAAAAAAGACCAAGCGAACTACTAAATTTTCTTTATTGAATGTTTAATTATTATACATAAGCATAGTAAGTTCATGGATAAAGCAAAATATTTATTCAAATAGAAAGAAATAATGAAAATAAATATATTGTAGGGGTATCGAGATATTAATGTTGTCTAGCACTCAGGATGGAAGGAAACTCTAATGTGGTTTTCTTATATAATATAAGTTATATGATAGACAGTCTGGTGCTGGAGATGCCGTGTGGTGGGGAGCAGCTCAGTAGAAGACGTTCGGTGAGTAGCGTGTTGTAGGAGGTAGATGTGCAGGAGCTTCGTTAGAGAAGATGTTGCCTGTTGCTGGCCTCCTGGTTGAAATAAATGTTAACAGCGTGGAAGTTGCTGGAGGAGGTGTTGCTTGTTCAGGAATTTGGGCAGAATGAGAGTTGGTTGGTGAGGAAGCTCAGGGAAGGACAGCTGGTGGGTCGCCATGCTCGCCGGCGGGAGCGAGGACCGCCAGGCAGCGGCGGAGGAGGAGGTGTTGCTTGTTCAAGAAGAATGGTCAGAATGAATCTCAATGGAGAGACAGAGCTTATATACACCCAGCAGCAGCCGCCAGTCCTCTATGAGTCATGTTGGGAAAACCCGAGAAGTAGCCGGTGAATAGTTTCGTTGCTAAGATACGGTAACATCTGGTTGGTTGCTAGGGAAGGCGGCACATTGGAATGCGATACGCAGTTTGTAGGGGAGACGTCCACTACAATATATTTTGTATTTACTGCTTGGATAAAATCAGCAGCATTAACCTATTCATAGAAATTAAACTTATATTTTAATTCTCCTAGTTTTTTAAGCTTCCAATTATCTGCAATCGTTTCTAAGATCGAATTGATCAGTTATGTCGTTTTCACAAGCTATGAGCATAAGAATATGCAACCGTTTTTCTGAGGTTCTGTTTCGCAGGGTTATTTTCAAAAGCTTAAGCTTGCTAAAAGACCTTTCACTTTTACATGCAGAAGGTCATGTTGTCAAGAATAGTCTGGAAACTTTTGCCACATGAGGAAGTAAATGAGCATTCGGTGCACCTTCTGCTGCAGAGCGAATGTTATTTTTTTTTCTACATTAGGATGCTGCTCCACATATTCAAAAACATTTATGTTGAACACTTCTAATTCAACTCGGATAGATTTAGTATCAGGTATTTCAGATGGATAGGTTTCTGGCAGATTTTTCATGGCATCAATAAAACTTTCTGAGTCTGGCATCATCATAACCTTTCAAAACACAATCCACTGTATTACCTCTTGCTACCAGTATGTAATAATATTAATAATAATAATAATTAACGGCTTATTGAAAAAGTTCTGCAGCCCGAAGGCTGAAAATATACATTGGACATAAATGACTTATTACATACATTGGTGGTTTAACAAAAGCCTTCGTTAAAGAAAGGTAAAGGTACATACAGTGAACATACAGATTAATGTAGGTATTGAACAGCAAACACATAGTGTAGTAACTCCCTTCCAGATGGTGTTAGGAGGGACCTCACGTGGTGTAGTAATTCCCTCACAGATGGTGTTATGAGGGACTTCACGTGGTGTAGTAATTCCCTCACAGATGGTGTTATGAGGGACTTCACGTGGTGTAGTAACTCCCTCACAGATGGTGTTATGAGGGACCTGACGTGGTGTAGTAATTCCCTCACAGATAGTGTTATGGGGGACCTGACGTGGTGTAGTAATTCCCTCACAGATGGTGTTATGAGGGACCTCACGTGGTCTAGTAATTCCCTCACAGATGGTGTTATGAGGGACCTCACGTGGTGTAGTAATTCCGTCACAGATGGTGTAATATGAGTGAGGTGTGGTCCCAGGCCTTCCTATCATAGACGGATTAACACATCGCTGGTTGTTGTTGGGTCTCATGGGCCGTTATCACTGGGTACCTGGGACCTCACTGTGTGAAGGTTAACTTGGGTACGACTCGGCTGTTACTGTTGAGTTGTTCTCACTGACTTAAGCACTGTTCACCACTGTTCATCTCTGTTAAACACTGGTTCCATTCCTTTCCTAAGTGAAAATGTAACTTCTGTCGAGAACTCATTGATATTCCAGCGGGGAGGAGAGTTCAGGGGAGGGAGTTGTATGGGCCAACTTAACAGTTGACCTGGCTGCTCACAGAGGAGCACCAGGTACGTCTTGACCCTTCTGTGGTCAAGGATGTGTGTGTGTGTGTGTAACCCGTATAATTTAAAGTATGTAATTAATAACTTACAACCATGGATGTATAATTTATGAATATTCATTATTCAATGACAGGATAATCTGAAGTGTGAAATAAATAAGGAAATAGAAACTGAGCGGAATACAGAAACAATTTGGATAGAATTAATGGACGGTTGGGAAAAATTAATCATAGGAGTAATATATAGACCTCCCAATCTTGATAGAGTTAATGAGCGACTTATCTGGGATGAAATTCGCAGTGCTTCCATACACAACAAAGTCTGTATAGAAGGCGATTTTAACCTTGGCCAAATAGATTGGACTGACCTTACGGGTAACTCAGTATCAGAGGATTTCCTTGAAACGATCCAGGACTGTTTCCTGAGTCAACAAAGAACCGAACCACACCAAGGTTAATAATATACTCGATTTAGTTCTGTCGAACAGAGAAGACCTCATTAGCAATGTCGAGGTAGGGAACGAACTTGTAAACAGCGATCACAAAGAAATTAGATTCCAGTTAGATTTTCAGGTCAAACGTAAGGAGAATTCCATTAAAGTCCCAGATTTCAGAAGGGCAAACTTTGATAGTTTAAAGAGGCAGCTGAGAGAGGGGGTGTCGCATTTGGGCGTGAACCTGGCAGATGACACCGACCTGATAACGAGATCTGAGATTGCCGAGTTCCACGACAATTTAAATAATGAGTTACTTAATGCACAAAGGCAGAACATACCATACAAAAAATTCAGATCAGACAACAATGACCCTAAATGGATAAATAATTATTTAAAGAACATTATTGGCCAAAGGAAGGCTATAGGTAGAAGGATAAATAGTGGCGAAATTTACCTCCCGGAGTATTATAAGGTATTGGCCGGTAGGGTTGAGACCAAGATAAGAAAAGCAAAGAGAAATTATGAACTGAAGATAGCAGGGGAGGCGAAGACAAACCCCAAAGGATTCTACGAAATGTATCAAACTAAACCATGAGATAAGATTGGACCAATACGTTCAGATACCGGCGAGCTAACCGATAACGACGGAGAAATGAGCAATAATCTGAATAAATATTTTTCAACAGTTTTCACCACCGAAAATTTAAACATGATACCCGAGGCACCGAATCTATTCAGAGATAGTGAAGAAAACAAATTAAGCGAGATAGAAGTGACTAGTAACGATGTTAATAAGCAAATAGACAAACTGAAGCCTAATAAGTCATCTGGTCCCGATGAGATATTTGCCAGAGTATAAAGGAATGTAATAAGAGCTTAGTATGCCCTTAGCAAAGTTGTTTAACATGTCATTAAAAACAGGTGTAGTACCAGAATCCTGGAGGATAGCGAATATAATACCAATTTTCAAGAAGGGGGATAGATCACTATCCTCTAACCACCGCCCAATCAGTCTAACATCAATAGTAGGCAAATTACTAGAATCAATCATTTCAAACTCTATTCGAAACCACCTGGAGAAGTACAAGTTAATCAATGATTCCCAACATGGCTTCACAAGTGGGCGTTCATGTCTAACTAATCTATTAACATTCTTTTCATCAGTTTTCGAATCGGTGGACGAGGGGCACAATTATGATGTGGTATATCTCGACTTTAGCAAAGCCCTCGACAGAGTACCCCACGAAAGACTAATTAGAAAGGTAGAAGCGCATGGCATCAAAGGTAATATCCTTAAATGGATTAGGGCATGGTTACGGGACAGGAAACAGCGAGTGAGCATAAACAGCACTAAATCGCATTGGAGCAACGTCACTAGTGGAGTTCCCCAAGGCTCAGTACTTGGACCATTATTATTTATTATATACATAAACGACATAGATATCTGCATAGACAGCAACATAAGTAAATTTACTGATGACACTAAAATAGGACGTGTAATTAAATCCGACGAGGACTCTGCAAAACTACAGGAAGATCTAAACAAATTTTTCGAATGGTCGGAAAAATGGTAGATGAAATTCAATGTGGACAAATGTAAAGTACTCAGTATAGGAGATGTAAACAGGGAAACCAGTTACCAGAAGAACAACGATGCCATTGTGGAATCCGACTGCGAGAGAGATTTAGGAGTAATGATAAGTAGGAATCTTAAGCCAAGTAAACAATGTGTTTTTGCTCGTAACAAGGCTAATAAAGTACTTGGGTTCATACAAAGGAGTGTTAGTTACAAGACTAGCAAGGTCATCTTAAAATTATATCTAGCGCTTGTGAGACCTCACCTGGATTATGCAGTTCAGTTCTGGTCATCGTATTACAGAATGGATATAGAATCCTTGGAAAGAATCCAGAGGAGAATGACAAGACTAATCCCGGGCATTAGGAACCTTGAGTACAGAGACAGGTTAAAGCATCTTAATTTGCACTCCCTTGAGAGACGTAAAGTGAGGGGCGACATGATAGAGGTGTATAAATGGAAGTCAGGGTTAAACAAAGGGGACATTACAAAGGTACTCAAACTATCCAACCAGGAGCAAACTCGTAACAATGGTTTTAAATTAGACAAATTTAGATTTCGGCGTGAAATAGGTAAACACTGGTTTGGAAACAGAGTAGTGGATGAATGGAACAAGTTACCAAATATCATCGTTAACTCGAATATGTTGGATAGCTTCAAACATAGGTTGGATGCTTATATGAGCAATGGGGGTTGGGTATAAACGGGACTGCCCAGTATGGGTCAATAGGCCCGCTGCAGCTTCCTCCATTCTTATGTTCTTATGTTCTTATGACCTGTAGAGGGTAGAGGCTTTTCATAAGTTATATCGCTTGGTGTAAGACATAACACCTGGCTTCAGTCGTGCAAGTGTTCTGACTTAGCTGAGTGTCGCAGTATGATGCAAATCACCCTCTGAGTAGTAGGTAATTCTTTGAACACTGACTTGATTGCTCATATTTGGTAAGTACATACTTTGCTTCACAATTGCAATGCATCTGGTATTATATCTAATTAGCTAATTAATATAGAGAATAGCACCGCCAGTTAAGGATGATTCATTGGGTCAATGAGATCAGTTCAAGCCAGTTATTTATAAAACGTAACGTAAACACCGCTGACTGGTGATCGGCTTGACATTCCACGGTGGTGATTACTTCCTCCTTTGAGCACCTTCTAGAAGCTTGACTCATGGATCACTCTAGTGGCGAGTGTAGGAATTACTCTCTCCAGGCGTGGCAAACGCCGGGCCCTTAGTTTGTCTTTGGCTGGACCCCATAGAGTAGACATCTACCACTGAAGCCCCTCAGTATGAGCTCGCCTAACACAGAGCTTGCCTCAATCCTAGAGGGACTCGCACTGGGATCTCCTCAGTACTAGATCACATGGCCAGCCTATTTCTTTGTACAGCTGTAGATTGGGTTTGTAAATACACCCTGTATATACGCACTAGTGTTGTGTATAACTAACCCTGTTTTATGGAAGATGTGAAACCAAAGTAGACATGGGAGTTGTGCCAGACTTGTGGAAACAAGTACATGTAGTACACAGATTAAAAAAGGGAGACAGATCATCAGCGTCAAATTACCGGCCGATTAGTTTGATGTCTGTAGTGGGAAATTTCTTGAATCAATTTTAGCAAATAGCATCCGATCGCATTTAGAGAAAAGCAAATTAAACAACGACTCTCAACATGGAATTACAAAGAGAAAATCTTGTCTAACAAATCTGCTGACGTTTTTAGGAAAGTCTTCGAGGTAGTAGATAATGACGAAGATTACGACGTTATTTACTTAGACTTTAG